GAGAGAGAGCGAGCAAGAGAGAGCGAGCGAGAGAGAGAGAGAGAGAGAGAGAGAGAGAGAGAGAGAGAGAGAGAGAGAGAGAGAGAGAGAGAGAGAGAGAGAGAGAGAGAGAGAGAGAGAGCGAGCGAGAGAGAGAGAGAAAGAAAGAGAGGACATAAATGAGTTCTTTGGTTAATGATTTAGTTACATTATTTGCAGCAGTTAACCTCATCGCCTGGCGACGAGGACCGCATGCGCCTCCTAGCGGAGACTCTCGATGAAATTGTGCTGTACAACAAGGAAATAGCCGATGACGTCTCTGATATAAAGGTAATTTAATAATAGGTAAAAGTAATTTTTTCTCGTGATTATAGGGGATTTCATTGTAAATATGGGCAATTTACGGCTAAGGATAGTGTAATGGCAAATTCAGACAATTTAATGATACATTATGGTTATTTACTTGCAAATATAGGTCATTCTTTTATAAATATTGGGACTTAAATTAAGGGTAATATAATGGTCAATACGGGTATTCTAATGGTAAGTAAATGTAATTTAATGCTAAGTAAGGGTTAGTCAATGTCGATATAACGCGCACCATGCTGTGGCGTCATGTACAAGCAGCACTGGAACAGGACGCAATCCCCACAACTGCGTCTCACACCTATTTCGTCGCCTGTCTCATCAAAGATCATAATCAATAGCAGACACAGGGATTTCGCTCGTGGTGAATGTAAGCTGAATTAGAAAACGACCGTTACGTACATCCTGCATTCATAATGCTACCGTCCTCATTCCTCTTTAGTCCTATCACCGGACCCCCTTTTAACCTGCATGACGTTCTTTTATATGTTTTTTTTTCTCGTTATGTACGTACACACCACATGTATTGCGACATGTCAACATTCGTGTGAGATGAAATCGGCTGAGAAACAATGAGGCATAACAATGTATTAGCGTGACGCCCACTTTGAACATATAAGGAGTTTATAAGTTATGTCATCTGCGTGTTTTCAATAGAAGACGTTTTTAGATTGTAACGTAAATTTCGAACACACACGTGATAACAACGACTGTCTCAACGCGAAATGAAAAAAGCGCGAATATGAAATCGGGAGAGAGAGAGAGAGAGAGAGAGAGAGAGAGAGAGAGAGAGAGAGAGAGAGAGAGAGAGAGAGAGAAAGAGAGAAAGAGAGAGAGCAACAGAGAAAGATAGAGGGACAGGAGGGTAAATAGAGAGTGGGGGAGAACGAGCGATGGAAAGAGAGCGATAGAGATGGAAAGAAACACAGGAGACCGAGAGAGGGTAAGAGAGAGAGAAAGAGAAAAAGAGAGAGAGAGAGAAAGAGAGAGAGAGAGAGAGAGAAAAAGAGAGAAAAAGAGATACAGAGAGAGGGAGAGAGACAAACAGACATACAGACAGATAGATTCCCATTATATAGCCCAGCATCTATACGGACAGTACGTAATCGCGGTTACCAGTGCAGCCTGGTCGTCTGTCAAACCCATGTCATAGAACGCCAGCGTGTAGTTGAGCGGCGCGAGTCTCTCGTGGAACATCTTGACGATTCCTTTTCCCTCGGTGAAGTGCGACCGATCGTACGCCGTAACGAAGACGGGCCGCGCCGCCACCCGGCCGCTGTAGGGCGCCACGTACCGCTGCACGTCTTCGTAGGCGTCGCGCACGACCTGGCTGAGCTTCGTCGCGTCGTCGTCCGCGCCAGGCAGCCGACGTCGGTGCGATGCGGCGACCGGTGGTTGTCGGTCGATATAGGCGCCGTGTGTGCTCGCGTTGAGTGGAAGCGGCTGAAGAGACTGCGGCTGCTGTTGTTGTTGTTGATGATTTTGTTGTTTGTGCTGTTGCTGTTGTTGTTGTCGTTGTTGCTGCTGTTGCTGCTGCTGTGTCAATCTATTCACACTGACATCGTGACGACTAGATGCGGTTGTTGCAACCACGGAGTTACTGCGCGTGCGATGCGTGTTGCCACCATCGCGCTGGTACGCTACGGTGGCGTTGTCGTCAGCACCCAGCAGCCCCGCCCTCCACGCGTCGGCGTCCTGCATGTGCGAGAAAGGTTCTCTCTGGCGATCGCCTGCTGTAGGTCCGTGACGCGGCCTCCGCGACGCATCGTCATCGCGTCGCGATGGCCGCTCCGACGTTGCGTCACCGACGGACGCACGCGAATGTTTCGACTGCTCGTCGCCGAACACGCGCACCGCGGGCGTTCTTTCTGCGTCGGCGACGAGCGCATGTCGAAGAAGATGTCCGTAGCTGCCGACGTCTCCGCCGATTGTCAGTACTAGGATGACCACGACGACGATGACGACAAGCACGAAGAGAACTTTAATGGACGGTCTCGGAGGCGCGAGCATTATCCGGAGCTCCGAATTAACATGTCAGTATAACGGCAGACGTGATCGCAGACGCGAGACTATCACAGACGGTTGCAGTCGCACACAAATCTCGTCTCACTAAACGTGTTTGCTCATACTGCAGTTGTCCTGCTATATGCAAGGAGACCCCGGAAGAAATTCTATTGCCGAATACAGTGGGCGCATCCATAATTCAGCGAAGTTTTGTGGGTCAGTGCGGCTAAACGAAGGCTAGGGGCCAGTGAGCACCAATCCGCAGCAAGCTCTGTTCTTACTTGCTACGTGGATAGGCAGTGAAGCGACACGTAGCGAGCATGAACGTGACTCCTACCCACAGGCACTTAAAACGTATAAAAAAAAATGTAAACACGAAATGTATTTACTACCAACGTCTTAATGTCCACGCCCGCCCTGTGCACAAACAGCATGTTATCATCTTATTCATGTTGTTTGTGCACAGGGCGGGCGTGCGGTGTACTTGTGTGTTGCAGATGAGCATTTGACCGGCATTTACGGGTAATTATCGGCAATAATAGGCGAAATAGAGTAGAGAAGCATTAAGACTTTGGTAGTAAATACATTTCGTGTTTATTTACCTTTATTTTTGTAATTGAGACGTTCTAAGTGCCTGTGCTTCTACCGGTGCTCACCTCACACACCTTCCCATGCGAATGGGAAACTTAGCAATACCCTTTCAGTGAAACAACACTTTTAACGTTTATTGTAGATAATAATCGAGCGATTTTCAATAAGCTTCGGGCGATCAATTATATCGACTCCATGGACTTCTTTGAAGTTTCTTCGTTCAAAGCACGAATTTTGTAAAGTGATGTAGCTAGCCATTTGTATCCCACAGCGGTTTATTGCAAAAAAAAACATGCTGCGAAATTTTCGCGGGTAAGTGTTTCCGTCATCTGCAATTATCTATTGATGCACGTTTCCCCTGCTGTTATTAAATATTCAGGATGCAATAACTTTCTGAGTTTTTGCGCTAACAGCTCCGGAGTTCATGACCGAATGAGCGCGTTACAATATTAATTGATTGATGACAACAAAGAAGTATATGCTATGAATTGAAACGATGTAGCGCCCCGACGAAATTCTGGATGGTATTTCACCTTCAGTTAGTGTGATTGTCATTCAGTAAACAGCTATTCTCGCGACTAGCACATGCTCTCTTGTTTGATGCCATAGCAACCGAACTAGGAGCTGTGTTCAGAGGTCTATACATTGTTGTTTCGAAGACAATTGTCCGAAAACCTGTTCACAGAACGTAAACAACAAAAATAACGTTCTAGAAACCGTATAGGGATCACTCGCTCCAACGAAGACATCTGCATGGTGTGAGGTAAAGTATTGCCCATGCAGTCGATTACATGACCTCATAAACTCTTGAAGATTATTTTTCGAAGTCTAAGGAACTGCGGAAAAGAAGAAATTAAAAAGTCCATTGTAAACAAGTATCGCAAGTGATCGGAATATCTATCTTTTTTTCTAGAAATTTATCTGTCTGCTGTAATGACGTCTACTGCAACGGCACTCAGTCCGTTGGATATTATATAAAAAATATAATAGTACATTTTAAATTTCTGCTTTGAATCCGTTTTTTTGTATGCTAAGCTTATAGCTTTTTACAATGTTTTTCATTGTCATGTAAGAACTGGTAGGCCTATTCCGCTCGATGGAGTTGATGATTACAACTTGTCAAACTCGGCTATCAGATGCTGATCACTGTCTTCGCCGTATGTGTCATCTTCTAATATTTCGAAAAAAAATTGTATATTTTGTTTCCTTCCATATTGGCACTGCCGTCCTTCTTCACTAGCTAGCTGTAAAAGGGAAAGTTTCTACTACAGCCCACGAAGTTTATATGTCAGTATATCGACTTTCTTGTCTTTACTTCTTTGTTACAGTCCCTACATTGCTTGGGACTATAAAGAATATATATATATATATATCAAGAGCTAATAATACCTAAGAGGTATTATTAGCTCTTGATATATATATATATATATATATATATATTGGTTTATAACTTAGTCAATTATGTTATATAACATAGTCAATTATAGTAATACTTAATAGTAAATCGAAGCTAGTGGGTTAAAGAAGGGGTTACTTGCTTGTTTCACATTGAGTCACGAACAGGGGTTTACGCACGCGGCCGTATTCGTAGTAGAAGGTGCCTATATAGATTGTAAAGCGTGAGCGTAGAGTATAATGTTGCGCGATGTCGTAATCTATGCATTTGTACGTTATCTCGCTTACGCGGATGCGCGATTCTTTATCAGTTACTCTTACTTGAGCTGAGAATCCAATCAAGTTGCTAATCACATGCACGGGTCATCAGTTCGCCCACCAGCTACCTTAACAATCTCGATCGCGGTTAAAGGGTTAATACCCACGCACGCGGTGGCAAAGCGGCACGAGCGCCAGTGCATCTCGTCCGAATGACGTCATTCGTCGCTGCGCGTGACGTTCTTGCCTAATTGCCTGTTACCATAGAAAGTCGCGCGTGCGCGCTTTGACCGTAGTCCTTGTATTGATTACGCTGCGGCATATATATACATATATTTCCAATCGTTTGCGGCGAAGATAGGCGCCAAGCCGCCATGGTAACGAAGCATCAGGAGCGACTGCGTGCT